AAAAGGTCGACCCTAAAAATGCACACCTCGCCATAACCCACGGATATGTGCCTCAGGTGGTAAGGAGCTCACACAAAAATTACTCATAAGAAGGTCGTGTGTGACCGACCTCAAGCAGTTGTCCATTGGGCACTATGGTCACGCTTTCAGGTCAATAAGACCACCTTTAATTCAATTTCCTTTTCAGGTACATCCAGAAGAATCCTTCCACGATGCGGGCAACCGGGAAGTGATGACCGCCCCCATATCTCTAACAGCACTCAAGACTGACTGACTTATCCGTAAATTGCTTTACTTTACATATAATTATTTCCTTGATATTTTTAGGTTAACTTACTTAAAAAGATAAATCAAGCGAGTAATAAACTATTACTTCCAACTGCATAATGATGATAGTGTAGTGAACAGAACACGGGTTGAGACAATCGAATTATATTTAGTACAACATTACAGAGTTACTTGGTAAAATAGAAAAACCATACTATAATACCTAATTTGCAAAATGTTTATTGCTCTTGCATTCCCATAGTAATTGCTTTCTATTCCCTCTCTTCCTTTCTTGATCTTCTTCATCTTCTGCTGCCAGACATTACATTCCTGACTCGCGTCATATACTACTTATATCAATATAAGTAACACGCACCACAGTAGAACTAAATATAAGTTTCTTTAAAAATGGAACCAAAAACTTATTTAAATAATTGCAATTCCATTAATTAATTTTTTATTGTTCATCTAAAAGATACAAATTAAAATTTGTTTAAATTCACCCCATTTACCAAAAATCAAATTAAGCAAGCATAAATCGAAGGATAGATGATTTAAAAAGATAAGTACTTCAAAAAAAGAGAAAAAAAAAGTAAAAACGAATAAGCATAAAGAAATCATCATTTTGTAATGAATAATAAAAAGAAATAAATCAGAATGTATTACTCTTTTCAAGTAGTAGATGTTAACAAATAAATAGTTTTTTTTTCCGATGAATTCAATAACTAGAACAAAATCCATTACATATGTGTCAGTTTAATTTTCCTAGAAGTAATAAGCATAGACACAATGTAGCTTCCAATGAAATTTTGGGTTTTTAATATTGTATAGTTCTCTAAATTTATTGGTTTGATTGTGAAGTTTTTAACACTATTCTCAACATCAACAGAGATGCTGTCAAAATAACTATTGTAACTAATGGTTGGAGACTCTTGGTGACATGGCTCAGAATCGATCACAATGGCGTCGGTGTATACACCCTTTGTTTTCCTTTAAACTATCAGATTAAAATCGCTTCATATCTTTCTTTCTACGTACTAAATCATACTTCCTGTACTATATCGTTATATGCAATCTTTCTTTTATATATTACCACCACTGTATTAACTACTTCTATGAATTCGGTGTTCATCTTGTCGTACTAATGAGGTATGGCAAATTGGACCGATGCATAAATGTGCCTGGTCCTACGTTGTAGCTGACTGACTGATGATGTATGTTAATCCAGTATTTCTGACTGACTGTCAAAATGAAGCGAGGTTTTCAAAGTTGCTTTCAGTATGTAAGATCATTATGTCCTGGTGATTAAGTGATTATCTTTGAAATTATCATGTACCTATGTACTACTGTAGTGAACAGAACACGAGTGGGGACAATCAAATGTACTTAACACAAAATTACAGGACTTGTTAATAAAATCTAACAATCATAAAGTAAATGCTTAATTTGAAAAATGTGCACCAATTGTCTCAAAATGACTCAGACTTCATTGTTCTTGCATTTTCCATTCTTTACTATTCGATCCTCTTGTCTCTCTGCTGCCAGACCCTCTGTTCACGACTCACATCATATACTACTTATGTCAATATAAGTAGCACACAACACTACTTCTGACCGTCTTATTCATCCACTCTGATTGACCTTACATAAATGAATAGATTATACATAATTCAATATATTTATTGATTGTAGATTGATAGAGATACCATATTAATAGTTCTTCAGGATTTTAAAAATCTCTTATCGGGAATTTTGATACTTTTTTAGGTGAAAATATACCCATATTTGTCTATGTGAATTGACATGTGACGTCAATCTGTACATTATCTGCATATCTTTCGCTGTCGTTTAGTAGAAAGACAGGTTCACCTAAAAATGTATCAACACTGTACAACGTACCATAACAATATTTGGCAACAATGAATAATCAAGCTACGCTAATACAACTATTAAAAATCTAAAACTAAGAATATAAAATTTGGGGCAGAGTCAGAAAAGCACAAATGAAGCAAAAACTGACTGTTAACCGCGTTACTTATGACTAGTAGTTTTGGTATAAGTAATCATTTTTAGTATTGTCATTCAGCCAGCCGAAACAAATATCTTGCATCATAAAACCACGATACTGTGATACTCGGTCAAATTTGCAGAAAAAACATATTCACTCCAGTATTTATTGACATTTCTGAAGTAATAATTAAGAATGTATATTCGTCACAGAGCGGTATGTAACAAATTCCGTTTGTTAGATAACATGTTCAAAAAATAGTTACATCTACCTACATTGGCACACTAAACTTCAAATGAAAGGGTGTAGTCCGAATTCGAGTACATAAAGTTATACTTGGTAAACAACTTGCTTCAACAAACAAATGGATACCCTTTCATAATAAACAACGATGCTTAAGTGTTACTTGATCTAACCCAAAAAAAATCATGTTTGTAATATAATCTTTAAAAAAATTCATGATTCAGATGATATTTCTTCTGTCAAATTATTCCAGCGATATCATTTCAATCAACTAGATCGGATCTAAACACATCACTTAACTATTCATCATTCTACAATTTATCCATTAAGAGAAATATTTAAAAATGACAAACAATCAAGTGGAAGCAGTTAATATAATCTGACAATGGAGAAACAGTATGACATTTGAGAAAAAGTCACTGGCATAATAATTCGTTTTTACGAAGAAAATAGGTAGTAGTTTTCATAAAGGCAAGAAATGCCAAGAAGTTTATTTTTGCGTTGACATTAAGATTATATATATATACTCCTGTTATGATAAAACTAGTTATTCGGAAGAAAATTATTTCGAGAGACAAAAGAATTAAAATAGCTAAGTATCACTGCAACTGTTGAATATTACCTCAAACCATGAAATGAACCGCAATCATGCAACAGAAAATACATTTCGAGGAAAAAAAGATAACCTAATTGTCATAGAAATGTAGCTACAATACCTTTTTTTCGAAAATTATTATTACAACCTGGTTGAAAAGATAATCATAGTGAAAGTGAGCTACCTCCATTTTTTAGCAGTTTATTAAAAATACTTAAAAAGGATTTGAAGTATATTCATCCGATAATATGGATAACGAGTAACAAACAGTTATGTTATTTAGTTTACTGGTTCTCGTATTCTTTGTTGTGAAATGTCTATAATGCTAGTATAAAGATACAAGTTACAACTGTTAACACTTGTAGATTATCAGAATATATATATATATTGTTCAGAGTAATTTAAAATCTTATCATATCGCATTGTTCATATTGACTCAGTTGGGTATTTCATTTAGTTATAATAATAAACATGTTGGACAGATGATTAGAAAATAAGTTGTTTTTTGCTTGATAATAAAATACATGCTGAGTTAAGTGCAAAGATACGTATTAACTTTATATGAAAAAAAGGATACATTCGTAATAGTTGACAAAACATTTTTATGGAGAAAAAGAATATAAGAAACTAACTGTTTTCTGTTGACTTATGATAAATCAATGAATTCAAAGAAAAGCTAGAATTGATAGAAAGTCATTTCATCCTGCTGTTAAAACTTTCAACAGTTTATAATGATTTTCTTAAAATTAAGGTATATATACCCATACATACGTGTTTTATGTGTGATCGAACTGATTTCAAACGATTGCAGTCATTAAAATCTAGTTATAGGAATTTAATTCTTTCTGTTATTAGTGTTAAGGATTGTAAGTGATCAGTCACTTTTGGTATGTATATCGTGAGAGTTTCCTAGATATTTTCGTCAGTCACGAGGAATTCTTTAAGTGTGAATATTAACACTGCGATGCAGATAAATCCAGCTAATGAGTCTCAGGCAAAACGAAACGCGCGTACCCGATTCCAGTCCTAACTAATATTCAGCTTTCCTTCAAAATTGCTGTCGTTTTCTAATAAGTGATTTTGTATTAGTTTGCACTGGTCAAGAACGTACACCATTCATTTCTGGAGATTCGTGCTACAATAAAATTATTTTAATGCACTGAAGACGGTCTTTTGTTCATAAAGAGAAAATAATGAATATGTATGGATGAAACAAAGGACCATACTCTTATATAATTATTTCTAAAATGACATCCCAACCCTTCAAAACATATAAAGACAGGCTTGTTTACTGTTCATTCATAAGAAGTGTTGAGACTGTGCATCTGAAACTTGGATTGCTGAAAACTGACGTTTTTGCAGTACAAAATAGACATTAATTTGAGTTGGATATTATGAATAACATCAAGTGATAAGTTGAACACTAACGTTATCAATCAAGTTCAGGTTAAATGTTTGACAGATCAATATTCTTTCCTACTAAGCTATACTGAGAAAATCTCTAGTGCATCAACAAGTGTTTCTTCATATACCTAGTTCTATAGCGCTAGACGTTTCTGTTAGTACTGGTAGTCTACAGTTTAAGGTGATAGGTTATATGAATCTGACCTCAGTATTGACGATATCGCTATTTCTAATCTTTCACTAAAAACTTTAGTTTAATACCACTTCATTTTCTTACTTAATTTCTTTCTTTAGAACTAAATTTCAATTCTTTCGGTAATCGATTTTGTTGTAACGGGTGACTGCAGGTTCTGCTAGGCAGCGTTTATATCGATCGCTTCTGTGACAGTGGACACGTAAACATGTAAGGACGACCTAGTGCCCTGATTGGCCCTGCCCCGCTGTCTGTCCCAGCCAGTTGAGTCAAGAACAAAAGTCACAGCCTCTGGGTTATGAATCATTATATTTCAAACATACTTTGTTTATATACTAGTCAAGCAGACCACAACGTACCACAAAGTAGAAAAGAACATTATACAATATTGGCCAACAGGAAAATAACACGTTAAATAAATATCGACCAATGGGAAATGTACATTTAAGGTCCAAGGACACCATTGGACTTAACATAATAATTATTGGTCTATTTTTCCGACTACCTAACAGATTTATGGAGCAGATATGGTGTAGTAACTTGAATCAATCTGCGTTGGTGTAAGACTCCATCAGGTTTATGGTTGATTAAATGTATGTCTAATAAATTCTAGTCAATTATTTTCGTATCATACGTTTATAATCAATTGATTGGAAGACGTGCCGAAGATGATATCAGTTAGTAATGTTATGTCTAAGCACAATCGAGTTGAAAGTAAAACATGTGCCAATAAAATTTGATGCAGTTTTATTGATATTTTGATCAGGAGCTTATGCTTCACTAAGGACGATAGTCTTAAGAGCTCTATACAACACAAGTTTATTTTACTAAATGGATTTAAAATTAATTCGACCATAAATATACATCACTGTAAGTTTGATAATCAGAAAAACTGATTGATAAATTTACAATGAAAATTTGACAAGAAATATACCTGATTTCGCACACACACACACACACACAAAAGGTAAAATTAATCAATCAATGATAATATTGTTTTTCACAATTAATCAATTTAACAATCCATTTTTTTCTCACTAATACTACTATTACTACCACAAACATTGCAAATAACACTATACTATTACTATGACTACTACAGCTATTTATTTCAATGAAGTCAGGCAAAAAAAAAAGAATGACAAAATAAATTTATCAAAATAATATTTTTTATCAAAATTTATTCTAATTTAAAATATCAAATTGTTTTAATCAGATGGGATAATGTAAAATTTTCTGAAGTATCAAAGGAGATACAACAAATTCATTATCATATAATGATGAACTCATCCATAATCTTAAATTATTATCATTCTTGTCTAAATCCAATCGATCAATAATTCGTTGAACACTGGATAATTTACAATCGTTCTGAAGAAAAAACAAACAGACAAAGAGAAAAGATTTCATAGGAAAATCAAAAAAAAAGAAAAAAACTTTCAATATAACAACATGAAAAAAAGTAGAAAAATAAACCAATGAAACAAAGAAATAGACGAAACACATTCAAATCTATAAACATAAAAAATGAATTTGATTTAAAATGATAAAACAATTCTTTGCTTATTTTTGTTCATGTTAATATATTACTGTATCTAATGTTTAGAGATGTTGCATATCTGAATTACATTTTTATTTTTCAAAAGTTGTCAATGTACAACAAGTTTCTTGTTGCCAATTTTTAATAAAGATCAACAAAAAAATAATTTAGATAAATGTCAAATTTTTAGGTGGATTTAATTTTGAGCAAATATAAAAAAGAATGAATAATAATTGGAAAGAATTGCTAAGGAAAGAGTTGGATGGGGAATTTTGGTGGTTGACATATACTCACTCCTACATGAGGGATAATAGGAGTAAGTAAGTAAATTCAACTTATTGATTATTTGTATCTCAAAGATAAAAAAAGTGGCGATAATTGATAATTTAACATAGAAAGATAATAGTACATTTGAATGAAATACTTTCATATGAACTAGTATATCATTACATAATTGTGTACATATATTATATAAACACATCAATACTTTTTAGTTAAAGAAATGTACTGATTATGAAAATGGTTATTCCTTGAAGTTCATAAACCGCTGGAAGGGTTGCAATACGACTAGACCTATGACGTTTTTCGAATCCAAAAAGCGAGTTTATATTACGTTACCATTCAGAGGTGACACAGTTAGTCTCATGTTGAAACGGAGACTTAAATTAGCTATAAACCGGACATTTTATGCAGCCCAACTTATCATTATCGAAAAGACAAGGTCTATGTTTCACCAAAAGCCCAAACAGCACGAAGGCGATTGTGTCACATCCCAATGCGTCTATCAATTTACATGTATGTGTGGAAACACGTACATAGGGAGGAGCAATCGTGATTTGCGACTAAGGGTGGGTGAACATATACCAAAATGGTTGCAGAATCAGATGAATTCCAATGGCCAAATAAGATCACAGGATATACAGACATCATCCTCCATTGCGAAACATTTGATTGAGACGGGTCATAAGGTTGACACCAAATCAGCATTTGTAGTGTTATACAAAAGCTTTCAAGGACGTATACGAAGGTTTATTGAAGCCTTGGCTATACGGAAATTGAAACCCCTTTTATGTGTTCAAAAACAATTTATCCTTACACTTAACCTACCCTGATAATACTGATTTATTATCCAGAGTGGTAATCACATTTGTTTTTGTGTACTTTATTATTTTTCCTTTGTTATGACTTAACCTAAACATGTCTAGTTGACCTTTTAATTTTCATATATAAATGTTCTTAACAAGTATATGTGTGATCAGATTGTTCGAAATGTATTGCGCAAATATATCACATAATTCAGATAAATTTCGTCTTCTCATTGCATTATCGAAAAATTATTATGAAAATAAATTTTGATTAAATTGATAGATTTTCTATTATCTAATGGAATAATTTCATACAGTCAGTTATATTAACTACATTGTTGAGTTTCATATTATGAAGAAACAATTGTTCAGTACTTCTGAATTTTCAATAATTCTCTAACTAATTACACTAAAAATTCGAATAACAAAATCTACAATCATTCACATATAAATCAATGTTCGTGAGACAAAGCAAACTTAGACAGACAATTACATTTTATCAATTAAAAGTTTAATATCATTTGTCAATGTTTACTGAATGACAAATGACCTCATGATTTTTAAAATAAAAGAACATAATCATAATTATGCTGAATTACAGTTGTAACAAATGATCATTTATATGTAAAGATATACATTCACGAAGACATACTGATTATTTCAATAGAGTAGTGTTATTCAATGATAGAAATTGCTATGGTCAGACTTATAGAACCTGCAATCTATGTGACAATTATCACTTCATTAATAGAGTCTTTTAAAAATTACGAATATGGATCTAGCAACATTCATATGAAAATCTATAATGTTACTCATTACAAAGATCAGTCAGTCAGTAACAACGTAGAACTTCGTACGTACGTACATCAGTTCGAGTTGCCACACCACATTAGCACAGAGATGCACTTGTCGATTCAAATCCCGTAGTGGTAGAGGTAGCAAGAGTATAAGCAGTAATCGGGAAGATTAGGGTTTGGAGATGTTATTTAAAGAGTATAATACAGTGAAAGAAATTTGGAAAGAGGAAAAAAGGGACATGAAGAATTCAGAAGATTAGAATTTGGGAGAACACAGAGAGTGGATGCACCTGCGCCATTGCAAACGATTTTGAGCCATATCATTCAGGGTCTCTAACCATCGGTTGCTGTCATCTCGCGGTCCCCAACCAGGTAGTCTACACCTACCAACATGACTCAGTTCACTTGTCAGTGACTTCATGGACTTGTGCCATGTTTTGGTTTGGCCGCCCCTAGCTTTCTTCCAACCTACTCCTATACCACTGAACATAGCACGTCGAGGTAGTCGGTCGTTGGGCATACGTAACACGTGTCCCAGCCATCTCAACTGATGAAGTTTCACTACGTCATCAATTGATTTGCCATCCTTACCTAGTACCCGTTTCCTAATAACTGTGTTACTTACTCGATGGTCCCATGATATACGAGCAATGTTTCGAAGACACCTATGATCAAATACTAGTAACCTATGGATATCCTCTACTCTTACCGGCCATGTTTCACTGCCATAAAGTAGGACGGAACGAACTGCTGTGCAGTAAACACGTCCTTTGGTTGATAGACGGATATCTCGCCTACGCCATAAATGACGCCAGTTGGCAAAAGCTAGTCGAGCCTTCTGTATCCGTGCTGAGATTTCGTCACACACCAAACCACAAGGGCTGATGAGACTTCCAAGATAAGTGAAGCGATCGACACACTCAACTACTTCATTCCCTATCACTAGTTCGGGTGTCGATGTAACCCAATCCTGAAGCAACATTTTGCATTTCGAGGGAGAGAATCGCATCCCGAACATGCTTGCATTGTTGCTTAGAGTGGTCAGAAGACTCTGCATTTTGTCAGCGTCTTCACCAAATAAGACTATGTCATCTGCATATTCCAAGTCAACAAGTGAACCTCCTGGTAGAAGTTCAACCCCTGTAAATTTAGATGAGGAGAGTGTTATCTCTAAAAGTACGTCAATGACAAAGTTGAACAAGAATGGGGAGAGTGGACAGCCCTGACGAACACCACTTGAGGTGATCAATTCTGATGACAGTTCGCCATAAGCTCTCACTCTACCAGTTGTGTTCGAGTAGAGAGCCTTTATAAGGTTAATGTACTTCTTTGGTACTCCTTTCAGTGACAAACACTGCCATAGAACCTCACGATCAACGGAGTCGAATGCCGCCTTAAGGTCGAGAAATACTACCATTGTGGGGCGTCTGAATGTGTGTCTGTGTTCTAGAACCTGACGTAGTGTAAATATCTGATCTATACAACCACGTCCAGGTCGAAAACCAGGCTGGTTTTCTCTAGTCTGCTCTTCATGAGCTTTAGTTAAGCGTCGAAGTATTATTGAGGCTAATATTTTAGACACTATATTAGTCAAACTGATTCCTCTGTGATTGTCACAAGAGGACTTTTGTCCTTTCTTAAAAACTGGCACAATCAGTGATTGAGACCAGTCAGATGGGATTACGTCCAGTTCCCAAATTCTACCTAAGACCTCAGTTAATCTCATTGCTAATACTGGACCACCATCCTTAAAAATCTCAGGAGTAAACCTGTCAGGGCCTGCTGCTCTCCCTCGTTTCAGATTTCCTATGGCTTTTTCAACTTCGTAAAGGGACGGAGGACTTACATTAACTTGCCATTCAGGTTGACTGGAGATCGTGGGAAACCGAAGTGTGGCTGAAGGCCAGTTGAACTGATCCCTAAAGTGTTCTGCCCATCGATCCAATCTCCTGGATTGAGAATGTATAATATGTCCATCTTTCTCTGAGAGTGTTTCGCTAACGGTCGGGTTCCTAATTCCGGTTTCCTTAACGAGTCTAAACAATTGTCTGCTATTACATATTGCCGCTGCCTTTTCCATCTCTCTTGCTTTCGCTACCCACCACTGTTCGCGATCATTGCGTAGACTTCTTGTCAGCTTGCGCTTAAGCTGACTCCGCTCTTCATTATGTTCAGAGCCAGGTGGAATGAGTTTTCGAGCATCTATCAGTGCGATAGATGCTGCTGAGACCCAGTGTTGCTCCCTAACTTTACGGTTTACCTTACTAGCAGATATCACTGCTGTTTCCACAGCTTTTCGGATATCGTTCCATGCTGCCTCGGGGTGGGCATCACATACATGGCTGCCTAACTGTTTTCCTAGTTGTTCCTGAAATATATTCTTAGCTTGACTATCATTAAGTAGGCCCTAAGAGGTTTCCTTGCAGGATCTTTCCTACGTCCAGTAAGACGCAAGCAAATACGCGCTCGCACTAGAGCATGATCTGAATCTAGGCATGTGCTCCAGAATGAGCGACAGTCTTCTATCGAGCCCCTCCATCGGTGGCTAATAGCGATGTGATCTATTTGGGTCCAACGTTGGGACGAATTAGGGGGTCGCCATGTTAAAAGATGTTTTTCCTTATGCTTAAAGTTAGTATTTGCAAGGAACAGGCGGTTATCTGAGCATAGCTGCAACAGACGGTCGCCATTATCTGTTCTTTGAGCCACGACACCATAGGATCCACCTAGGTGTCTTTCCTTATCGCTTAGTTTACCTACTTGAGCATTAAAGTCACCGGCCACTATTACTACATCCGAGCGCTTAGCTTTTCGGAGAAGGTCCGAAAGCTTTCTGTAAAACTCATCTTTTACATCATCTGAGCTGCAGTCAGTGGGAGAATAGGCAGAGACGACGAAGAGGCAACGACGAGTGTCCCTACCTTTTCGGATCCTCACTGTTCCGTTTAGTCGGACAGCGCACAAACGACTGTTTACTGGGATCCACTCTAAGAGAGCTAGTTCTGCCCTAGGACTCAATGCTATACCTACGCCGGCGAGGCCACGGGAAGCAGAATCAGGGCTTCCAGATACACGAAGCGTAAATCGAGTCGGTTCTTTATTTTGGCATGGTGAGGTCAAATGAATGACACTACTTGGATCCTGTATGTGCGTTTCGGAGACGCAGCACACATTGATGGCGCGAGATTCTAAAGTTTTAGCTAAGGAAGCCTGCTGTCCTATTTGGCACAGTGTTCGGACGTTATAAGCTCCTACGTGTAGTTTAGAGCGTGGTTTCAGGAGACCAGGAATGGCGTTCCACGTACTCGAATCGTTTGCCCTAGCGGTGCGAGGTGATAAAGAGATGTGAGGAGAGTTAGTCGGGAGGATAAGAGAGGTATTAGGAGGTGTAGGAAGGATTTGAATGTGACCAACTTTGTCTCGTGTGCTGTTACGGGTATGAGGGCTGATATCACTTCCCGGCTGTCCACACCGTGGAAGGGTATTTCTTGATGAACCTGAAAAGGAAATTGGATTAGTGTTGGTCTTGACGACCTGGGAGCGTGACCGCAGAGCCCAAGGGACAACTGCTTGAGGCCGGTCGCGCACGGCCTTTTTGTGGAAGGTTTTTGACGTGTTAGCTCCGTTCTTCAAGGGCCTTACCGCCGGAGACGGAAATCCGTGAGGTAAGGTGAGGTGTGCATTTTTAGGGTCGACCTTTTCTAACCCCACCCCTCCTTGTGGGAAGGCAGCATCGCTGTCATGCTGGTTGTCCAGGGGAAACACCTTACTGCTGTCACACCTCTCTACAGTCAGCAGTACGACTTCGCCCTCAGACCTTGAGTTGCTGCTTTTAGTCTTACCGTTCGCCAATCGACCTGCCTGGCATGGTAGAACCTGCAGGAACATATGTTCCAGCCAATATAGCTCGGTTGGGTCATCACGATAGGCAAGCCCGACCACCGCGTCAAGGTAGCAGCTTCGATCGGGCATTACAAAGATAAAAAGGAATGACTATCGACTACTCAGAACGAATAAAATTAGAAGATGCCAACTATGCAAATTACAATTAATAACTCGATGGTTGAAACAAAATTCCTAAAGTTGTTTTGATTTACTTTAACAAAAAAGTCAAATGACTAATCAGAATGTTATTTTCATTTTTGTTCCATACGTAAATTGACTTCGACCTTTAACAGAAAACATCATTCAACTTAAATCTAGTTAAGAGAGCAAAGCTAATAAGTTCAAGTAAAAAATGTAATATTCATGATAAATAGCACTGTGACAAAACAAATGAAACTTATCCTGACTATGAATTATGGTTGAGACAAATACAAAGAATTGATATACACGTAATTATTCACGGAACATATGAAATCCCCTCGGAATGGTACAAAATTATATGGAACTCCTCAGCAGTGTGAATCAACCCCTCAATGGTGGTTTAACATTGATCAATTCACGATCTCAATTACAACTCAATAAACTCTACAACCGTATACACATAATTATACATGATTCAGAGGGAATAGATCAAATTTTATATTTTTGTCAAAAATTGAAAAAATCACTTTATTTTAGCGTTAATTAGTATTCTCATCAATTAATAATTCTAATGCTAATGCTAATGCTAATAATAATAATAATAATAATAATAATATTAATAACTGAAAAAGTTACAAGTAAAATCCTATAAGGATTGTCTAATAAACACTAATTACATTGAATAAATACTTAAACAAACATAATTGGTTTGTGGAAATAAAACTTAATGAGAGGAAGTTAAATGATGAAAATATCTTTCCTTAATTTGAATTAGTAATAAAAGTACAGAATATTTTTTATTCACTTATTTGCAGATTGATAATAATCAGTTTACAATAATTTATAAAAATTTTGTTTCCATGTTTTCATTGGTGGTCTAACATCAATCGGTCCATGATCTCAATCAAAAACGTTGTAATCTCCACAACCTCATACTGAAAATAAGAATGTTTTAATTAAGTGAAATTAGACAGTGGCTAATAGTGAAATCCAAAACTTTTTCTCCTATTTAGATCTCGTCAGCGGGGTGTACTTGCATCCGTGTTGATATTCACACTGAGACTCGAATCCAGTACCTTTCCCTTAAAAAAATTGAATATATTTCTAACTAACGGTATTTAGATAAGACAGAAATAAATTAGGGTGAACGATCTTGTTTTATAGTGATAGGTGAGCTGGTGATACTGCTGTTCGACTGTTTGAACAAAAATAGATAAAACGGAGTTTGAGCTGTTAATTTCATTGTCAGAATTCGAGTCGCTGAATCAAAAAGTTATCTTTAAAAAATCCTTAATAACATAGCTACCGAATAATACTTTTAGTTATAATAAAATACCAAGGTAGGTGACCAAACACAACTTACATTTTTATCAGCAGACAATAACTCATTTTCATCAGTAGTAAATGATTCCAAATGATAAGCTGGTATTTCATATAAGTCAATAGAGATCCCATTAGTTTCCGTTGAACGATCAATTAAATTTTGACTATTTGTAATCGATAGATTAGAAAGCCGAAGATAATGAAACCAAGCTAGAATAAGATTTCCTTGAAGTATATCAGGAACCCATAACAAATCATCAGGCCACATATGTTCCCATGGTAAAGATGATGTATTTATTGTATTATCTTTATTCATTATAAGTGGAAACCAAGCTGGATGCATTTCTTCTGTATAACAAGGCCATTTAACCGTATGACCATTAAATGTAGGTGTCCATGTTCGGCAGATAAACACATATACTTCCATACACTAGAAAATAATTTATTTAAAAATTGTTAAATTATAAATAAATTCATAAAAGAAATCATTTGATATCTCGTGAGTAGACTTCTTAAAATCATTTTATTCTATGTAGCATTGTAAAATATCAAGGATGGTATATCAGTCTTTATGATAACAATCAACTCAAAGATGACATATTTAAGACACAAACAGACAGTAAATAGTTCAGAGTGAATACCATGATCAAGTACAGTGAAAGTTAGACTAATTCTAATAAATAAACATTGAAAACTTCTATTACAAAAAAACCCAATAATGAAACATCTTTGATCAGTTATCAAAACTCAGAAGATCAATAAATAATCATTAGTGTATTAAGTATCACTACAGTCATCGGAGAATATAAAAAGCCACTGGTCGAATTTCAGTCGGATGAAATCAACCACTACTAGATAATTTTCAATCACTATTCAATTTTCCATATTTTAAATTATCTAACATGAATTGCAACAACCACTAACGATATACACATAGTAATATGAAATTCAAGTTATTGGTGTTCTACAAATTAATAAGATCAAGTTATAAATAAAATCAAAAAAATTCATTTATTAATAAATTTGTGAAAAATGTTCATCAAAAAAAGTAGAACATTCATTAATTTGGATTTCGAAGTTCTATCACTGATTGATCTGAGTTACAGAATGATCGTAATAATCCAGGAAGCACTAGAATAGTTGTTTAACTAAGATAAATCAGTTTTGAAAAAAATATGAAATTCAACAATCTCCACAAATCTTTTGATTCCAGTATGAATGTCTAGTAATAAGTGGTCAGGAGCATATACAATATGACTTCAAAACACATTCGAAACATTGTTTATTTTTAATACTGTAGTCAAACATTTTGCGATTAATGATCTCGTTATTAAAATTTTTACTTCGATTTAACCAGATAATTACGTATGTTAACTAATCTATACAAATATATGTGACATATCTACAGTGCGGGATTTATCGGTTAGATTACTTAACATATAGCATAAAGATGTTGAAGGTTCATCCTTTTGTGCCAGCTTAAGCAGTCACAAACATTCATATAAAACGAAATCAGCCTTAAACTTCAGTATATTAATCTGTACTTGGTAAATAGATTACATTTTAAAAATATCCAATACAACTGTAGATATACAAATAGATAGAAGGAAATTTTCTTTGAATTATAACTAGGATTAAATTTGACTTGAATGTTCTTTTAAGAGATGTATATCTATCTTTATGGCTTATTTTATCTTTATAAATAAAAATAAAAAGACTGAGATAAAAATAAAGTTATCACTGTGAAATCACTAGATTATTGGCCGAATATTTCAGAGACTACACTACAAAACACATCAGTTAGTTATTCTATATTAATTTTATTGTTGTGTGTTGCATTCAGCTGTCATACGAAGAAATGGACATTAGTTAGAAATTTATTAATTCAGGTGGTTGAGTTCCCATGCAAAAACAGTGGACGAGAATGACTGATTACTGATATCTAATATATACCTTAAGAGAAGTATGATTCATTTATAAGGTGATAATTAAGTTTTAGAAAATCTTTGATTCAGAAGCTAGGTGATATTTCATTTTCATTCAGTTGTGACCTATGATTTCTTTCGACTTTTACTAACATTCATAATTCAGCGTATATATATAACACGCTAGTTTGTAATTAATGTTACTTTTGACGAAATTACGATATCATCTAAAACCGGCAGACAAAACAAAAGTCAGTAAAACAACAACTGGACAAGCTAAGCAACTCCATTGAGCTCCAGCTCTGACAACTAGAGGGAAAAGATCATATTCAGTCGAGGAGAATATTACAAAAGCAGTCAGAAGCATGAACGAACAAGCACTCAACTCATACATACATATACGGTACAGTTCTTGATAAGCTTCACAAAATAACTTACTAAAAGAGCAAAACAACCAATGACATTTAAGGTGCTTCCGAATGAGAAATATAGACTGAAGGTGAATGTGGTCATTTGGAGATTTTGGCATGAAAATGAGAAGTTCGAATTTCTATGTTGAAGATGCGAAAGTGATACGTTTACGAAGTGATTTCTACGGATCTAGCATCCACATCAAACAAAGAAAACTCTACGGATAAATTATCCATCCTATAGAGAGCGATTTCACGTATGTGGAATGCGAATAGTGCTTGATTTCTACTGAGGCTTACAAATTGTAAGTTGAAATAATGGATTGATAATGAAATAATTTCTTATTTGAACACCAAACAGTATCTATTAGCATCCCCAGCACTTTAGTAAATGTAACCAAATATATTTTTGTCAAATACCTGAAATTTTTTCATCATATAAAATGAAAGCGCTTCACCACCAAAAAACAAATAAATGCATTGAACAGTAGGTTTATGTGCACACTAATTCCTTTGAAACTGCTGATGATAATTATTTCGATAAATGTATTTTGAAAATAAACAAAGATCATGACAACAATAACAATGTCTTCAAACTATTACACATATTAATGCAGTGTATGTTAGAGGAGATTAAAATAATAAAGTAGAATATCGTTAAGGCCATTGTGCAAAAATACATATATCTATCTATCTTATAATATTTTAACCTCAATTCAGGATTTCAATTTACTTTAGAACTAGTAGAACAATATATAAATGCCGATCGACTGGAAGGGGAAATTATATGTGGACACACTGTGCAGACACAAAGATATACTATTTGAAAAAAAGGATTTATATAAATACTTATATATTCATAACATCATAAATGGGTATTTGATCCTATTTAAAACTAGACATAGTTGAATGTAATCCCACTCCAATGTTGGTCTCCACATAGTGGTTCAAAACCTATATGTACTACAAACAAATAAATAGTACGATTAAGTGGTTATTTTATTTTTTAAGAAATGTATTACTTAAATAAATATGACAGTGGGCATAAAGGATGAGTAGGTTCGCAAATACGTAGTAGTTTTCACTGCATAAAGAAAAAAGAAAATATATAGTTATCATTCCAATTTAGTTGTGCGTCATTAGCATCAAGAAAACACTCCATTCAGGATTACTAGTTATGAACACTGATGGGACCATTTTATATGGAAAAACATAGATCTATGACCTCAGTAAAACCGCGATACTAACTGTTTATTGAATAAAAAGTGGCACTGAGATCTCAAGGCCATATCATTATCGTTTAAGGACAGATTTAGTGGTCATTTAATAAGCACGATCACTTAAATATTCTATCACATTGTGTAGAACAAGATTTGCAGAAAATCAATTAATTTTATCCTGATAATAATAATAATACAAAACAATTTTAATCATGGATTAACATAATCCGGAGCCCTAACTCATTGGACAAGTATTTTGTCTTACTTGGAAATCGCAGTGAAATTATACTACACTGACAAATCAATCAGATCTCAGATAGATTTCAGGATTATTGTGTATGTTAGAAACAAGAATGATAAATTTACATACCCTTACTACTAATTTTACTGATATGATAATTCAACATTTACAAGATGTCAGAGTGGTTAGCAAGATCACTAAATGTGATTTCGGACATCGAATTTTATGATAGAAAAGGCTAAAAATCAGAAGATGAATTATAAAAGAGCAATGGATGTCAAAATAGAAGCAGTAAGTATTATCTTTTTTAATCAAACTGGTAGATTTTCGGTATACTATGCGCTGGGAAAAAATGTTCTATAATTACAAAATATCTGCAACCTAAGGACTACTTTTTGGACAGATAATTGGAAAGTAGATATAGGTCCTCCAAAGTAAAAATCATAATATTTGGGACATCAGTTCATCACTCTAAACCCACTCATGAACTTTGAGATTTTCTTCTATATACTCGATTAAGTGGTGACTTTCTTGATTACCAAACAGATACCTAGAAAATGAAGACAAGATTATTTGTAAAAATTCACCAGACAAATGTGAAGTTTTTGTCATTTGATTCAGTCTTAATCTACGCAATAATTGTATTGAAAGCGAATAAATGACCTAGTTTGTGAACAACTGTTACCCCTTTCACACAAAACTTCCCATAAATATGAACACAATACGAACTCTCATTACTTTATAACAAAAGTCTAGTCAAAGTGACTTCAATATATATATATATATATATATATATATATATATATATATAACATTTTCTTCCGTTAATCACAAAATGTAAAAAAACACAAAACTGAACAACACATACATACGCAATAAACGAAACCATACCCCTCTAAAGATTATCTGATAATCCCATTTACCAGAGAAAAGTAAGTTCGTCTGGCAACAATCTAATTATTCCTTTTTTTCTCTATACAACTAAACTTTTTTTCAATAAACTAATAGAACAGTGAATATGGATCACTTAGTCATCTCTTCAAATCTTATTTAGTTCTAGTTTCCAAGGGTGGAGAGGAGATAATGATTTAACTCTGTGATTCATCTTAACAATTAATGTAATATAGATGTACTAAATTATAGAGAAACATGTGATGTATGCGAAATTCATTGAAACCTTATGAAATTAATTGCAATCATTATGAAAATGTGTTTTTTTATAATAGAATTCACATAAAATAGAATTTGATTGAGGTTATTCAGAACGTTTTCAATTTCAAATAAATATGTTGTATATAGCACTTTGGGCCATTTTTTCTGTTCAGTTAGTTAGTGAATGGTGTATTTTGAAGTTGGATTTCACAGCTTCTGTAGTTATACACAACTATCTTAAAGATTTGTTCGGCATAGTACAGTTCAACGTGACGGAAGAAAAACACAAAAATTGTAAAAATAAGAGCTTAAAATGAAATTTCTAGTGAAAACGACACTCAGATAAGTATCACTGAATCAATAAATAGATGATAAAATAGACTATAGTGCTAAATGCACTACACTTATTGAACAGTGAAAACTGCCGTAATTTTGACAGTCACTATGCAACTATGGAAATACTTAATCCACCCATATTTAATTGATTGTATTATAAAAAGAACATACATTACATACGGATGTGATTTAATTCATACAAATTAACTGTGTTATCAGTGGTGTCTTTAAACATTGAAACTATGAAAAATCATAAAGGTTTTGTAACTTAAGGATTATCGTACACAACTTAATACTCATGATTAAGCGGATTGCTAACTCTTCTATCGGGAAATGCATCACAACTGAATACACAAACATTGTTATCCATTCTATTTAGTTGTGCCTATTTACTAATACTATTGTGAAGATATTTCTATACATACCTGGAGCAGATTGTGTTAGATCTCTGAATGATATATATTTAACAGTTTCATTTCTTTTGTACAAAAATTAATCAAAGAAAAATTTATACGAAGTAATCATTTGTGGAAATATAAAAATACAGTTCTTTTTGAAAAAAAAGGAAGTTGAAAGTATCTCTTTACCAATCAACAAACAAATCAGTTCATTAGTACTGGTCTAGTTATATACATTGATAAATGTTTACATAATAATTTCAACAAGCTAAGAAATTTGAAATTATGATGAACTATAATATCTGATGTCAAATATATGAGAAAAGCCACCGAGAAAAAATGAGCTTCACTTAAATAAAACCCTAGTAATTTAGAGACTGACCATCAGTTTTTTTGTATTGACATAAGTTAAAATTAAGGCTAAATAAATTTCGATATTACTTCATAAAACATTTCCATCCTATACTTTGGCACAAAATTTCGATTGAAATCACATTTCATTTTCTGTTAGGTGTAATGTTACTATTCGGTTGTCTAACTATAAAAGGAGGAGGGTTGTGATTCGATCTTTTCACTAAATGGCTATAATTTACATATATATAACTAAAAAGCTACATCTATTTAGTTATAAATATATTGACCATAAAATTCCAGTGTTCCCACAAAAAACAACTTCACACAGATAGTTAATTTCAGACTACTGTATTTCAATATTAAACATATTAAACAGTACACTTACTAAAATCATAATTAATACACAGAATCAATCATTTTAGACTACAATATAACACAACTAATTAAAATTTATATAATTAAAACAGACAATAAATCATAATTATAATGTATTAATAGGGAAGAAAAAAAGAAGGAAAATGAGATAGTAAAAATAATAATGCAAATATAGGTAAATGACATACACAAAATGTGGATGACGATGATAAATGAAAAAAAACCGGTGGAAAACACGGATTCTTTCCAATTATTGATTGAATTGGAAAATATATTTATATACAGTAAAAAATAATCATATGACTCACTTGTTTATAAGGTGAAGCATCGTATGATAATAATAAACAAATAAATAAATGACTATATACTCTATGAATATACAAGTATATTTTTTTTAGAAATTTGAAGAAAATAAATGTAACCAGTATGATCAATAGGTACAACAAATACTTTGTGACGACGGACCACCGGTGAACTCGAAGAAGCTGTAAAAGGCTCAGAAGGAGCCGAAGACGTTCCATCCAATCACCTTTCGGAAGAATATTCTAGAATTCCTACGTGTAGCTTACCGATTGGATAATGCTAATAACTCTCTGTATGCGGATTCGAGGACTGTTATGATGATTTCGTTCTCACTAAAAACTATAAATACCTGACAATTTTGTACTATGATTGACACTGTTGGGAATAATATTCCTTTCATTAACCTTCTTATTGCGACTTGGAAGGGTTTTGGTGTTCTAGTGCTCGGTTATACGCGGTATATCAAGAAATCAACTTTCAAGATATAACATACTTGTTTATTATTTAAAATGAATAAAGTGGTTACTTCATCAGTAGAAGTAAATGGATATGATTGGTTATTGTGAAAATTCCGTTTTCTAAATTGGATAACTTCGAATGGATGGCTAGCTCATGAACAAGTAAAACACCAATATGAAATTCGGAAATCAATTCTATGGGATTATGCAATCATATTGATCAATATGAATAGTTTTTAAATGCTCATAATGAACACAAATATGTTATGACATAATTATTTATTTATTTTAACACAGATATTGGTACAAGGAGGCACCAAATACATATGCGCCATACAAATCTCATTCGATATGTGTGAGGGCTGTGATACTGTCCGGGTGCCCAAACCGAAGCTATGACATAATTAAGTCTACATTTCATGGCAAATCGAGTAGATAAATTTATCGAACCATTAGAGAAGAAAGAAAGCAGGAGAACAATGCAAAACACCCGTCTCTATCTACTACCAGGATTATTAAACATGATCAAACATAATATTAAGGTATTCGAACAGAGATTTCATATGATAACGTAACGAAAAACCTAGATCCTACAAATCAAAAAAAGCTTAAAAATATCCAGCTACATAAGTGGAGGTTATCGTGCTCAGTTGTATATTGTTGTAGGAAGAAATGGATGCGCGGTTTGATAGTGAATAGGACAATGTACAGTACCTGAAATATTAATTCATATCCAAATAACAAGTCTTGTATAAGAGGAGAAGTAATTCAAGAAAGTCACTTTAAAAGACCACTAGATATGAACAAATAGAATTAATTCATGAAGATTTAACTGCAAATAAAATCTCGAATTAGTTCCGCTTACAATGTCAATTTTAGAAATAAAATAATGGGATGTTTGATGATGTGGATAAAAAACGGTAGACCAAATCTAATATGTGAATGATAGTATTAAAGATCCAACTTCAATTGACCGACGGATAGTAGAGAAATACTAATAGCTACTGTTTGGTGTTCAAATAAGAAATTATTTCATTATCAATCCATTATTTCAACTTACAATTTGTAAGCCTCAGTAGAAATCAAGCACTATTCGCATTCCACATACGTGAAATCGCTCTCTATAGGGTGGATAATTTATCCGTAGAGTTTTCTTTGTTTGATGTGGATGCTAGATCCGTAGAAATCACTTCGTAAACGTATCACTTTCGCATCTTCAACATAGAAATTCGAACTTCTCATTTTCATGCCAAAATCTCCAAATGACCACATTCACCTTCAGTCTATATTTCTCATTCGGAAGCACCTTAAATGTCATTGGTTGTTTTGCTCTTTTAGTAGGTTATTTTGTGAAGCTTATCAAGAACTGTACCGTATATGTATGTATGAGTTGAGTGTTTGTTCGTTCATGCTTCTGACTGCTTTTGTAATATTCTCCTCGACTGAATATGATCTTTTCCCTCTAGTTGTCAGAGCTGGAGCTCAATGGAGTTGCTTAGCTTGTCCAGTTGTTGTTTTACTGACTTTTGTTTTGTCTGCCGGTTTTAGATGATATCGTAATTTCGTCAAACGTAGCATTGCTTTTCTAACCACCGTCATGAAGACAAGCTTAAAAGCGAAGCCAGCTATTTGTATTTCTCTACGATCTGTTGATCATTTTTAATTGGATCTTTTTATTTCGAGAAATTTTGTATTTAAATTGAAAAGACAAAACCTATTTGTTGATTAGTATATTTGAATGAAATATTCTATTGAACGATTTGATCACATTAAAACACTTCAACTTGAGAACAACCAAATGCCAAATCGAATGTTGACAACCATTTTGAATAAGCTAGTGAGTGTAATATACCCTCACGTGACAATGAGAAAGAGTCATCTTTTGTGATTTTATTAAACGTTCAAAATTCGGTGTACAATAATATTATTAGGAGTTTCTTTGGACTAGACAGATACAAAGCAAAGGGGTCAGATATAGGGTTTAGCAGTTCCAGTGTCGATCCAATGGAATACAGATCCGATGGGATGCGGATCGGTTTTATGCTTGATGGAAGTTCAACAGGCAGTAAACTCTCAACCATACGTACAGAACCAACCGATAAATAACTCTCAAACTAAAAATAGTCTATAGTTTACTGCTACACATGTTACACTGCTCTCTCTCCTTGCCTCTCTTAAAACACCTTAAAATTTCAATAACTAGAGGTGAAATAAGAAATCTAACTGTCAAATATGAGTCTCATACGAAATTGAAAGACTAATCGCATAGAGCAAAAATTATATAAACTAATACATGCATTGAAGGATAAACAGCTAGCTAAACTGTACGTTCAGTCGGCGGAAAAGTATCGTCCGGGCGAACCATTCTCTTTATGTTAACCATAATCATGCAGCACCTAATGAACTTTGCAAACCAACGACATACTTCCGTGCTGGACTCTTTTTTCTAGAGGAGGACCATGAGGATTAGTACAATCATACATTGAAATTCTTTCGAGCAAATATGTAAACAGCCGTTTTGCTTGTATAAGAGCGCTATTCAGATATTCGAAACACCCAGCTGGTTAAGAAAGGAAATTCCTCATCTTAAATAAAATGTTGATGAAGAGTCTTCACCATTTACCCGAAGTTTTTAAGAATTATCAGATGCAACTCCCATGAATCATTCCCAAACAGTTTGAGAAATTTGTGTTAGATCAATTTATCTGAGGCATGAATTTATAACTACTTTAGAAAAAATTTATGAAACATACTGCAGAAATCTTACAAAATGCTAGTGAAGAAACTGACCTCAAGGGACAATCGTGAGTAATCACAAACTTTCAGTACTTAAGTTGTTAAGTTACCTTGTCGGGTAGACTATTCCAGAAGTTCTCGAATATTAGGTCTTTGATCTAAAGGTATTCACACTCTATCCTGAAAGTTTTGCATTAGTCGCACAAGGTGGTGCAAAAAGAAGTTATCTGTAGGTCTGCTAAATATACTGTTGGTTTAATTGAGTAACCGCGGCGATTTTTCACCAAATTTAAGAACAGGACTTTTGTTGAAAACAGCAGTGACGTCCTTGTAATAAGACAAAACAGATGTTCAATGTTCTCTGGTTTCTAGTGGTTCCCCACTTGATTCCAATCCGTTACTAAGGCCGACTTCAACGTAAACAATAATTTAGATCCGCCTAGGTCTTTTATAAACCTCTAATTTAGATTATCCCTAACTAATTTTATCTTAATACACCACGAAACTCCTAGTTGACGATCCGTCACTTTGGCTGATATTTTCAGTTAATGTGGACGAAATCCGATATTACGAATATATGTGTGATATTCAAGTTTTCGAAGGTATTATGTTAGATCTGTTGTACCGTTCTTTCAATGTTTAAGAATGTTAAAGTCAAAGGCTTGATAAACTATTAATAAAATCGAAAATGTATTGGTCCTTTACGCATAAAATACAACGCCAGATGGATAGATTTTTACACTTTGTTTTTGTCACTAACTGACATTTCACAAATACTGTGTTGTTTGTAATTTATGGTGATATAAGTAATCTCCTATCATGAATACTCCTCATTCGTGATTACTGTATAATCGTTATCTTTTATTTCTACCAAACCGTGCAAGAATTATATTACGTTGATTTGAGGATATTTGTATCGTAAACCCATATAGTATGATATACCGATTCAAATTTAGCACATAACAATGTATTTACTATCGATAAGATAAGAGCAAAAGCTATCTGCGAATATTATCCTCAGTAATAAATGTGATTTAATTAAATACCTTGATATTCTTGCTAATGTTTATTAATTTAGTAAGTATATTTCTGTCTAAACAATAAAGCAATGGTGTCAACCGTTGTTTAGACATCAGAATAAACTAGTTAATGCTTATCAAACTGACGTTAATTTTCCCATCGTTATGTAAGACGACTCAGTAATACGTCTCCAGAAGCCTATATGACATTGGACGAAGAACCTTCAAGTTTTACAGCTAATACAGTGACTTTAAACAATTGAGCTGGGGTTTAGTGGTTTACATTTCGCACGCTAGTCGATTTTTAACGTAATTCAAACCTCATCCAATATCATCAACAGTGAAGTTACTATTTCCTCCCCAACTCGATCAAAAAATGAAAATGCATGATGCTTAATTCAATCAATAAACGAATAAATCATGTAATTTACGAGAATATTTCAAAATAACATACATACCTCCAGTGTCTCAGCGAAAGTAAACCATAGACGACCAACTTCGTCAACGGAAGACTCATCAAGTGTTAAACCAGACTCCTCATTCAGTTCTCGAAGTGCAGCAGCTTTTGGGTTCGCATCACTTAATTCGACTTTACCACCAAATCCGTTCCATCGTCCTTTTCCGAAACCACTCTGTTTTAAACCCAAAAGTAACCATGATTTATTGCAATCTGTGATCGATTCCTGTACTTTAATCTAGAAGGACAATTTTTAAAATGAAAATAATTCGTTGTTTACTTTTTTTGAAAAACTTTATCAAGCTCCTATCTTATTGTTTCGTTTCAAACTACTAAGCATTAATCAACAAACTGTAAAGAAATTTCGGTGGTGTTACTACAAACTTATGTAATCAAATAAGTATGGGTCCGAATTGATTCTTGTCAATTTATACAGAAAAAGATCTTTAAATTCGAAAGCAAGATATGGTATCAGTCCATAAAGTTACTGACTGTTGTTCAGAGCCATAGTGGTAGGTGAAGACTATCTGACTGAAGTCCATATGATTATTTAAAGACATTGGATGACACGACTCAGGATCGGTTGCAATGACACAAATGCATTATGACCAAGAAGTAACTCCATCTAGTTAGTAATTATTTATTCAATCACAAGTGCCAATAATTTGTTTCATATAGACTACTTTTAACAGTTTAGAACTGACTTCTTTCTTAAACTGAAGCTAGTATTTATTTCATACTCTCCCATAAATCTTGTGGTTAGAAAAAAGGGTGTAAAACCTTTCTTGTCAAACGGCTACAGGAATGCAGATACCATATCGAATTCGTTGCACATACAACATGCGAAAATATTTTTAAGAAACCGGCATTCACCAATTAGCAAGCAAAATAATAATTAATTACCCAATCATCAGTCTTAATGATGTCACCTAACCAATGAGATAAATATGTAAGTGTACAGTTTTCCACTAACGAGTTGTAGTCAATAAGCACTTTGTTTTTTGTCGTGCCTAACACTGACTGTCGACTTGTGTCCAAGAGTTCACTCATCTCAGTTCATAAACCAAAACGCCTATTTGCAAGTGTAATTTGGTCCATAAAGCGAACACTACATGTACAATTATTTAGGCTGCGAAACTTATCTTGCTTACAAGATAAATAGAACTCAGTCAATGTTATTTGTTTGAAGAATCAATTGAGGTCTCTGCTTGCTCTCAACTTTATCAATTCCATTTGAAGATAATGATTAGCGCCCCCTAGTTACAAAAAAACTGCAGCATTTATCACATTAGACTGTTGTCCAAATGCTTTGAAACCTTCAAATCGTCACAAAACAATTACTAGAAAGAATAATACTTAACGAGTGAGAATTAACGTAAACCGCCATCCCATGCATGCGATGAAACACACCCCAACGGTTTTAATACCAAGCCCAATGTTTAACTAGAATAATATCAAATTATCTCACATCCGGCTGCTTTCACATATGCTTTTAATTGGTCTTGGAGGTCACAAGCGGTCCACAGACAGTAGTTTAACAACTTCTGATCTAGGCTTACCTATGATGATAGCCCAATCAAATCTGACAACGCAAAACCAATACTATATAATTCAATATATATTGTTAAAACCAGAGTAAAAAAGGCGTTGTGGGACATTTATTATTCATAAAGGAGAATGATAACAATTGAGTAGTAATTTACTTGACAGTTTGAAGAAAGGTTCTTTTCAGCTAGGAATTAAATGCATCAAAGATTTTAAAAAAGGTTTAAAGAGGAGACAAAATAAAATAGTTTGGTATTTCATTGATGTGGAGTCTGTGAACTAATTCAATTATTCACAAATGTGACATATCTATCAAAATATTTCCTTCATATTTATTATTTCATTTAAGTTGGTACAGAATGGTCGAAAAAATATTCTGCATCAAATACCATAACATTATCCGAAATGAAAGTAATAAATGCATTGAGGAGAGCAGAATAACCCAGAAAAAAATAACAACTTCAGACAGTTTTTCGCCTGTTTATACGTAAAATTCATCAGAAAAAGGAAAATAACATTCTGTATTTGAAACATATATGCACAAAAACAAGAGAATCTAACATGAAATTTCGATGAAAATGACAGTTTCTTTTCCCAATCAGTAAAAAAGGATTTTTAAGTCGGATAACTGAAATAACCGATTAGTAAATAATTGGAAAAAATAGATTAACTGCCTTTATATGTCAGCTTCATTTTTATTATTATTGGCATACATGTTATAGTTGTTCTTATACACATCATCAGATAGATAAAACACAGTAAACAGAATAAAACATGAAATAACAAAACATAAGTATTATTCAAAATAAAGCTAGAAAGTATAAGGGAATATCAACGAACTATTAAGTAACTTGGTTAAACTAATAATGCTGAGATTACTTATGGTTTGTTTCGAAATAAATACTGCAAAGTTTCAGGGAGAAGTATTAATTTCAAACTCAACCGGTCCTGAGGTTTCGGGATGGATATCCATCAACATTGTAGGATGATGGGTATGCTAAACCAGAGATTGAAACAAAGTGAAAATTTACATGATTAACTTCCGACTTGTTAATACCAGGCTCGCCGTAGAACCTAAGTATCGCGTTATTAATTGATAAATAGATAGGATTGCGTATATCATGTAATGTCGAACTACAAGGAAAAAACGCAATCACTGCTTTCAGTTCTTAATATAAACCTACCTTTATACTAATCAAGTGCCTGGAATTCACTTATTTAAACAATCCTTATTTTTTTTGATATTCATTAACCAATTTTAACATTTTAATACCCCAACGAACTCAAGGATGACGACGTCACTCATCAAGCCAATAGTTTATATAAGTGGATATTTTAAGCAGATGTACCAAAGTAAACGGGTGAGTAGAGCACTTTGAGGAACTCGTGAATAGCCAGCTCCATTAAATCCACCGAACATCGAAGCAACACCTACAGACCTTCCTATAGCTGTCACTCCACCAACGATCGAAAAAATAAGCATGGCCATCAGACAATTCAAGAGTGGGAAAGCAGCAGGATCTGATAACATGACATCTGAGCACTGAAATCAAAAATAAGAGTAATTTCAAACGTGCTCCACATTCTATTCAGGAAGATTTGGGAGGAAGAACAAGTGCCGACAGACAGGAGAGAAGGATATCTCATTAAGATACCAAAGAAAGGAGATCTGAGCAAGTGTGAAAATTATAGAGGCATCACACTACTATAAATACCAGGAAAATGTTCGTGTTGTTGAACCGGATGAAAGATTCAGTAGGCGCCCAGCTTCCAGATCAACAGGCCGGATTCTATAAGGATCGGTCGTGTACAGATCAAATCGCGACAGTACGCATCATCACTGAACAATCAATTGAATGGAACTTATCACTATACATCAACTTCCTTGAAATTGAGAAAGCATTTGACAGCGTGGATAGGAAAAACTTTTTTGACACCACAGTGTACCTGAGAAAATCGTCAAAAACATACGGAATTCATACGACGGACTACATTGCAAAGCGGTGCACGGAGGACAGCTAACAGACGCATTTCAAGTAAGGATTGGAGTCAGACAAGGCTACCTACTCTACCCTTTTCTTTTTCTTCTGGTGGTTGACTGAATTATGAAGACCTCCAAATCTGAGGGAAGCACGGAATACAATGTACAGCTTGGATGCAACTAGATGGTTTGGACTTCGCAGATGACCTAGTCCTTCCATCCCATAGACAATAACAAATGCAGGTCAAAACAACCAGTGTAGTAGCAGCCTCTGCATCAGTACGCCTCAACATTCACAATGGAAAAAACAAAATCCTCAAATACAGCAGAGATCACTAATCCAATCACACTTGATCGAAAAGGTCTGGAAGATGTGAAAACTTTCACCTACATGAGCAGCTTCATCGATGAACAAGGAGGATCGAATGCTGACGTGAAGGCGAGGATTGACAAAGCAAAGGCAGCATTCCTACAATTGAAGAACATATGCAACTCAAAACAAACTCAAACCAAGTCAGAATCTCCAATGCGAACGTCAACACAGTTCTACTATACGGAGCTCAAACTTGAAGAACTACCACAACCATCATCAAGAAGGTACAAGTATTTATAAATGGTTGTCTAAGTAAGATACTCAATGTCCGTCGGCCGGATACCATCAGCAACAGCCTACAGTGGGAGAGAACAAACCAGCTTCCAGATCAAGAGGAAATTAAGAAAAGACGCTGCAAGTGGATAAGACATATATTGAGGAAATAACCAAACTACATCATGAGGCAATCTCTAACGTGGAATTCCGAAGGGAAACGGAAAAGAGAAAGACCAAAGAACACATTGAGACACCAACTGGAGGCAGACATTAAGAGAATGGATAGCAACTGGAAACATCTGGAAACTATTGACCACAACAGAGTTGGATGGAGAATAATGGTGGGCGGACTATACTCCTCCATGAGGGTTAACAGGTGAAAGTAAGTAGGTAAGTAAGAAGGTGAATACAACACTGGTAATAGTACTCTCTCTGAAGGTCAAGTTCACACATTGGATTTAATTAAGTTTAAAAAGTAACTTGGTTAACATTTATACAACTTTAATAAACAACAATTTTCAGGAGACTCTTAATAATTCACAAATATTCCAATCACCTACAAACGTCAAGAATACAATAACTGAACAAGTAGAAACATAAGACTGTCATGGAGAAACAACGAGACAAATTATCTAAATGTTTATTACACATTCGAAAATTTGTTATGTTATACTATTCATAACACATTTACATGATAGACACGATAGACACCATCTTATCTTAACACAGTGCACGCAATGTTGAGTCACCTAGACTAGTGGCCACATCGCAACTTTGTCGATAGCATTCGATCTGCACTAAGAAGGACCTGGTACAAATGACATTGATCACCACCCAGTGATCAATCAACTGCGAATACATCTCAGTCCTACAGGTCAGTCGCAGCCCAGATAGCCCAGTAGTAACGTCTTTGAATGTGAAGCTGGATCACACGGGATGGAATTCGTCAGGTAGCACCAGTTCCCTCAAGATTACAGGTATACCTTGCTGACGAGTGCCAAATAGTAAGAAACCCAGATCCAGAGTTTCCTGGTGACCACCACCAACCACCATTTTATCCTAACACAATTAAGAAAAGAAGCTGGAAGTGGATAGGACATATGTTGTGGAAATAACCAAACTATATCATGGGGCAAGCGCTAACTTGGAATCCTGAAGTGAAACGATAAAGAGAAAGACCAAATAACATATTGAGACACGAACTGGAGGCAGACATTAAAAGAATGGACAGTATTGCCCACGACAGGGTTGGATGGAGAGTGATGGTGAGCGGTCTATGCTCCTCCACGAGGGGCGACAGGCGTAAGCAAATAAGTAAGATGACATGATAATAACAACTCACGGTGAACTACAATTCGTAATTTCTTAAGATATGTTCTAAAACAGGTCCGTAGAAAATAAACCCCACAATTTTTCTATTCACTGATTTACTACTAAAAAGAAGTGAGTAGGTAGTATATATATATATATATATATATATATATATATATATATATATATATGTCGATGTCCGGTAGATTTAATGGAGCTGGCTATTCATGAGTTTCTCAAAGTTTTCTGCCCATCTTTTCATCTGTTCATGTATCTCAGCGATTGGCTTACCTTCTTTCTCCTTCAGCGGTCTCTGGTTTACTACAATACCCTGCCAGTTTCTTTGTTGTGTCATATATCTGTTCTATGTTTCCTTCTCTTGCAACGTTTTCCGCTGTCATTGCCAGGTCTTCCGCGTATTTCTGCTTGTCGGCTTTAATGCTCTTCTTCATTTGCTTGTTTGCTTTTGTTTATTTTGCCTGTACTGTGACTTTCGCTGTTGTTAACTGCCATCCTCTTGTTGTTCCTTTTCTGAATCTTGTCTACGGGTTTTGATAGAGATCCATTGCTCAGTTTTAAACTTGCTCAATTGACATTTTTATTCTTACTTAACTAGACTATGTAATTTTGCTTTGTTTTTTTATTTTATATCCGTTAACTTACAAATCGATCGTCATATTTAAAGAAAATATTGCAATACATAATCAGGTTGGTCCACCATAATTTGTTTGGTATTGATTTCATTCTAAATTGTAAAACATAAATTGTTCCAGAACCAACGAGGAACTGATTGAGGGTAAATACTTTTTCGCTCAACTTATGTGAGATCATATGATTTATATTAACACTGGATGGACGGAATAATGAATAATGTACAGTGTGCATGACCGACATTCACTTAGAATAATTACAAGTTGATTTAAATAGAGGCTAGTGTGATACACTCCACGACATTAACCGGTTTATATACACTTCATAGATAAACATTGTGTTATTTTTAAGCACAACAAGGATTATTAATATTACGATGACTTGAATGTTATGCAGGTTATAGTCCATTCGCATTACTACACAGTAGGTTATGAGAATATCAATTAACTCGCAAAATAAAATGCTAAAATGTACCCCCCCCCACGCACAATAATATGCTAGTTGCGCACCTGGTTGTTATTGCAACCAGTGATTCATATCAATAATTGTAGAAACCGATAAGAATATTCTTTTCCCATCTGTTATTACATTTATTTATTTATTTAAACACAAATATTGGTACAAAGTGGCACCGAATACATATACGTCACACAGGCCACTTGATTTTTGTGTAGGCTGTGATACTACTTGGGTGCCCAGACCGAAACAGGTGGTTTTCTTAGGGGGCCACACTCGGAGAATTGAACCTAAAAGTTTGATCCGCAAGACAGTGGAGCAACATCAGGAGATGCAGACCCACGGTAGCCGGTGACCAACAATTAGTTAATACCCCATTTGTCCCCACAGGATCCTGAAGCTCATGTGCATCACTAGTTTGGAATTAGGGTTTTCCAACTGACCTAGGTGGATCCTCCATATCTGCCAACCCGGTTAAAGCTTCGGAAACTCACTGTTCGTCCTCTCAATTTCGTAAACAGCACCCGTGCCGCGGAACGGAAGTGAGTAGGACTTCCCTGGCAGTGGTTGTATGCACGTGGCCATGTGAGAGCATTTCGAGAGGAAGAGCTGACTCTCTCTGCTATCGACCGTAGAGAGCATTTAGGAGCTTTTCCATTTGTGCCGTGTTATATGTACATAGTATCAAATATTTAACCAATAGTAGTTTGTTTAATGCTGATAAGAGGATGCAACATCGAAGGAAGGTAAATTTCACACCCACTAAAAAAGAAATGCATATACTGCGAGAAACATTGTTGAAAACATCGAAAATTCCCTCTCTTTACCCATCCACGAACATCGTTTTAAAGTTTAGCAACGCAATATATTTATTTTATTTACTTGAACACATAAATATTGGTACAAGAGGGCACCAAATATATATGCGCCACACAAAATAATGAGAATGGGGCGGGAGAAGAAAAAAAGAGGTAAAGAGCGTAAAAGAAGAAAAAAGAACAATAACGACCAGATTAGTGTAAGGTAGTGTAATAATAATAATAATAATAATAATAATAATAATAATAATAATAGTAATAATAATAATAATAATAATAATAATAATAATGGGAGGAATGGAAAGGTACAAGCAGAAGAAATCTTTCAGTTAAGGAATATACAACCACTTTTCATGAAGAAAGTAAAAGAAGGTTACAGCAGGATCGCCACTGGTTTCTATTCGGAGCCATATCTGATACCACCTCAAGCCACTGTGTTGCACCACCTCTAGAACTCCAACCCCGGAATCGCGAAGGACCAACAGAAACCAGCCCTCTGCAGCTTTCTTTCATACCACGACACCATGTCATGCACTGACCACCTCTCCGCTTCTTCCAACCAGTCCCAGAGTCGGCAAATAATGCACGACGTGGAATTCTCTGGGACGACATTCGTAGAACATGTCCAAGCCACCGAAGTCGGTGTTTCAAGATGGTGACACCAATTGGATTTTCATCTCTGTGCCCGAACACATGATGCCAAACCTCTGCATTACTGACATGGTGTTGCCACTGAATGTCAGCAATCCTTCGGAGACAGTGATGATCGGACACAGAGAGTCGTCTAACATCCTCAACTCGGAGAGGCCAGGTTTCACAAGCATGGAGCAGAACTGCTCTCACCGACGCGTTGTAGATCCGACCTTTCACAGCCAGACTGACATCAAGAAGGCGCCAAAGATGGCCTAGATCAACATAAACCGCTCTACCTTTCACTAAACGTGCATTGATCTCATCACTCATGCCAATACCAGCACTTATGTAGCTACCTAGATACACGAACTTCTCGACTACTTCTATCTGCTCACCATCCAGGGTGAGTACAGGATTAGAACCCTGTTATATCCGAGCGAAGATTAAATCACGAGTAACTCCTGAGACATATTAATTGACTAATATTATCTACATATTCTTATGGTGTAACTATTCAATAATTAGATTATGTATATTTATATTCCTCTTATTATAAGCTTTATTTTGACCTATAATTTATTATTGTACGAATTACGGTTCTTAAGCTATGTTCAGTTTATTGACTATTACCTCCCACGTTCACAGCCACACATGGCCAAATATTGTACAAACGTTGTTTTCTATTTTATGGTACGTTGTAGTCTGTCTGGTTGATATATAAACCGAGTATGTCTGAAATAAATGATTCATATTGCAGAAGCTGGTATTGTGTTCCGGACTCAAGTGGACGGGCTAGACGGACATAGGACGAATAAGGACTAATAAGACTGCTCATACCAATCGAGCGTCATTGGTTTGACACAATGCGAAGATTGTATAAGTCGTGTTTTGATTGGTGGATAAATCACGTGACAAAAGTCATAACAATAACGATGTTGTAAAATTACAAAAATTCAGATTCATCCATTACAAAAAAGTACGTTGATGGAGAGTTAACCTCTCAACCAGAAATGTAATGGTTAGTCAATTATAATGCAAATTTAATTAAACTGTCATGTGAAACAGTCAGATATGTGAACAATAACAAAATGCAATCAAAGTCATCAAAACATTGATTTGGCAGCATGAAGATGAATTACATCGATAGGCCTTGTCTATATATATTTTGTCTACTTGTAGAGAAATATATAATTTATGTTACGCAAAAACTGTACTTGAAGAAGCTGGCAATAAGATAGATTAAAATGATAAATAATACCTGAGTTCTCAATACCCAGTTTATTTCTCGTAGATGACCATCGTCGGCCGTTAAATAAAAATTAACAGAACGGATAATTTGTTTAGTACATTTGCTAATCAGTTTAAACTTTAGAAACAAAGTGCTCACAAATGTTCAGACATGATCACTGTCAATCATTAATCAGGCCATACGTAAACATGTATTTGGAGGTGAGAATTGATTAATCTGTGAGACAACTGTAGTTTTATCCCACTGACTACGAAATCACTTTTCAACGAAAACAAGAATCATAAACAGCTTCAAAATATACAATTTGCAATGCGTAGTAGTACTCAAATTTTATTAGGACACATTTAGCAATGATTATCATTAGGACGATCCATAGGGTACGGCCTATCGACTTGCCAGACAAACATTTAAATAATAATCGTCTTCCAAGCGAGACTTAAATACAACAAGCAACTCTCCAAACGACATATTCAAAGCGAAAATTAGGAGCGATGAACTAATTGTATTTCTAAACAAAAATTGAAGGAAAGACGAATAAAGCAAAGAAATATTGTATCTGAACGATAAGGCTAAAATGTTTTAAATGTGCAGGAATGTACGGGATGTTCTTAATTTTGATTAATACGACAAGAATTGTATACTTAGGGGTCCACGCACAGCTAATGACAGTACACCGAGGATAACTCCAACCACATAAGTGGAATGAACGAACTTGTACATTTTACCATACAGGGAGTAAAATTTGAGCCAATTCAAATCATAAAGCGAAACATGTTGAAAAGCAGATCAACAAAAGTAAAAGTAAAGACAAGAGTAGAATCGTAAAACATCTGGATCGCTTACTTCAGATCCCGAATCGTCAATGACCAATGGAGAATCTGTGTTCAATTCTCTGGGTGTATATATGACTAACATGAGCGTATATAATTTCCGGTTGACCCATTGAGGGGAGAACGGACTATGTTCGCTTTTTGAAACGGACATCTACAAATAAATGTCATAAAAAATTGTAGCACGGAGCTAGCAAAACAATAGGGATTTAAAGCTACTTTCCTTATGGGGAATAGTCCAAGGTAAGGAATAACAATACACATCTAAACGCTATCATCCTTCAAATGACAAATGCCGTTCTGAAGATCACTGATATCTAACTTGCTTTAAGTGTTTATTATCGATCCAGGTCCTATTAGGTAATTAATCTGGTAGATTTATTCATTTTACACTATAAATAATGTTCGGTAGGAAAACTGCATAGAATGCATGAAATAAATGTTTGACTGACAAGTTATACTAAAATATTAAGAACCCACACAACTGTTGGCATTGAAGTAATCAGTACATCATTAACTAATCATGTAGAAATGATGAAGTGTTCTAAGTAAGGAAAATTCGTTAATACTAAGGATGAATGTACATGTGAAGGTAAACGTAGAGATGACTCAGATAGTTATCGATAAACACGATATTTGAAAATAAAGTTTAACACACATTCCTAGTACGGATGACAATGACCAGAAGGAAACAATATGATCTTACTAACTAGTAACAATGTTACGATTGGCATAAATTCACATAAACATTTACCAGGAAATTCCATATGTCATGGGAAAATATGTTAGCTATTTAGTCTCTTTACTATTGCTACCCATTCAGATGAATGACATTGTTTATTATTTAGGCATTAGTGAAAGCAAGTCTTGGATTTCGGCGCGAAATCCATTTATCCCTACGACTAAATAGCATTTCGGCATAATAGCTTGGGTTAGTTCGTAATGCCAAAGCGACCAAAAAAGGCGAAATAAAGGATTCTCCCCTTCATGTCGCTCTGTTTTCAAAGTCGCTGAATTGTCTACTTTTCGCCTAAATACATGGTAAATAGTCTACTCACATAAATACACGCCGAACTGTCTACTTTTCGCTTTAATACACACCGATTTATCTAATTTTGCTTCAACTTTTGACACACATTTGATCTAACCCCAAACGTCTGTGCTCGCCGTTATTTATATAACACACCACACGACAAGTGCAATCGACGTTAAAAGTGGTACGTGTTCAAAGAAATTTATTGAAAAGAAAAAAACGTTATATTGTATAAGTAGTTGACAGATGCCAGGGCACCGATCGTTATGCATTGTAATTGCCAAGTCATATTGTAATTTGAAAAGATCTACAAAAGAAAGGACAGGTTATGTATTATTAATGTTTAGTAAAAACGAAGTCAAACATGAAAAATATTCCACTGGTTATGCATTTTCGTAACGCCTGTACGACTATTGAGAACCACAAAAATCTTGTGAATCCTGAAATTTAAGCACAATCATAAGCTGTTTCTTTCTTGGTGTCTACTATGACGTATTGTTACCTCTAAAGAGGTAAGGAAATGGTTAATGGTCATACCTCAGCACAAATTAAACAAAAGACATCCACATAACTGTAAGTAGCAATAGGAACAGTAACTAAATAATTGACTAGACCAGGTTTTCCATGTACTAATATCACATTATCCGACTGAAATGAAGTTATTTTAGTATTCTTAAGCATAATTGCTTGTTTGCGTGAAACAACACAATCGGTTATTCGTGTACTACCCAAGCAACCAATAAAAGGGGAATAAAGCGAACAAAGGCGTAAATAAAGAGGAAGTGTCGATTTTTCCTCCTTACATCGTGTATTGGTGAGAATTTGTAGACAAATATACGGCCTGCTATTAAACGCAACTCAATTTCGTAAACGTGACAGTCGGCTTAGCGACAATTATTATGTCCACCATCTTGGTATGCAATGGTGGCCGGATTTCTTCGTTCTGTGCTTTTTCCGTTATTTGTTTTGTGTAGCTACAGAATTTAGTGTTTCAGTGTGCTAAAATGCAGAAGTTAATGTAATACTCTAAATGTTGGAGCAAAATTTTTCCTGATTTTGCTTTGTTTTCTGGTTTTTTGCTGCTGCTACTAAAGTCAATGTATTTCTTCAGTCAAGCTGGCTAGTCTTATGTTTTAAAATGGTAATCGGTTTTGTTTTGAACAGAGCAAGAACAAACATTGATGCAGAATAGTATGAATTCATAATATCTCGAGGTTTCTCGTCAGCTGCTTACAACCAAAAATGTAATAGAATTTTTACATTGAGATAGTGTGAAACAATTGACATAAATGAGTGTAAATAACTGGATTACAATAATAACTATATATATATATATATATATATATGCTAGAACAGGTTAGAGGTTAAAAAAGGGAATTAATTTAGGGTGGGTGGTGTAATAGTTTAGTGAAGTTCATAAATTGTGTGATAATTTTAGCGATTTCCACCAGGTGGTGGAAATATGCGAATAAAATTTTGGTTTAAGAATTAGGTAATAGGGGAGGAGTATAAATATTTTAAAACAAATAAATGAATAAAATAACCCAAATAGCCAAAACACAAAAAAAGGATTACCAGGGTAATGATAAGTTTATTAAAGTATCTTTGAATGCATAAGTCCGATTTAAGTTTTTTGATCGCAATGGTTTCAGCGAAACGGAAAGTGGTCGTACTTCTTTGTCTATTGATAATTTTAAAAGCATGCAGAATGTCGACGGTATGCCCAGTGTCAAGTAGATGCCGAGCTATTGCACTGTTGAAAGCCTTAGTCCCTCGCAGCCTCAATTTCTTCGGAACATGCTCAGAAATGCGAATATGTACTCTTCTCTCAGTTCTTCCAATGTATGTGCTATGGCACGTACATGTGAATTGGTAAGCGCAGTTGGAGCTACTGAGGAAAGAAGACTTGTCGATTTTAGTTTGTTTCAGTGAGCAGTTCGTTTCCCATAACGTCGTCAGTTTGGCTGCCGTGTAGGCTACTTTCAAAGCGGAATTTATTCCGTGATTGATAATTCCGGTGACTTCATCTCCTTTGAAGCGCAAGTATAGGAAACAGGTTTTCTTTTCCACTGTAACATGCTTAATCGGACGGTTGGTATTAGGATATTTGTGGATGAATTTCTCCGGATATCCATTTTGGTGATTGTGGCAATTTCTTCTTCAAGGCACTCCTTTGAGCAGATTTTGCGTGCGCAGTCAAAAAGGTTTCGTACAACACCCTTTTTATAACTCATAGGACAGAAGTTTTTATAATTGAGATAAACTCCACCCCAGGTATTTTTACGATGGATGTGTCTCTGTTTTGACTTGTTTTCTAGATATCCAAAGCCGAAGTTCGTTTTTTCAGCTAAAATAACTGTTGCTGCCGCCTGTGACTAACTGTCCGCATGTTGGTTTCTAACTGTCCTTTATGATGTTATCGGCAAAATGAAAGGAAACAATCTCCGGTTTTTAATTTTCTTCAGTATTATGAACAACAGTATCCCATCAACGAGTCAAACTAATACTGAGTGCCCAGCAGTAGGGAATATCAGTAGTTTTCGAAAGGAATCAGACTTCCGACAACCATAGATGAAGTCACAGATGCTACCAATCTATTGCAGAGGGTTTGTTATATAAAATATGCCATGTAGCAGTAATAAAGGGGTTGTACTCATTACGTAGTGCGTTAAAGCAAGTTTAACATTGAAGAGGCGGAAATCTGCTATCAGTGTGTAGTGTATGTTTGCTGTTTTGGCCATAAAATGAAGCCGAAGGGTCATGACCAGGGAGTAAAAAGGTAATTAACTGTCAAGCCCACTTTTTTATAGATCATACTTCACCACTCACAAATTTGTGTCTTTTTACGGTATAATGTCAACCGGTACCTAATATGTTCACCTTTACGATGAAAAGTATCTGCAAATTCTCACCTTCATATTCGAATTATTTTTGGACAACCGTCTTCCAGTTTGAGCGCTTCGTACGCGCTGGGGGACTAGATTCCTACATTATTCGTAGTTCCAGCATAACTTTTTCACGCAGTAAGTTCAAAGTAGACACTAGTCTTTCTAAATAAGCCTGTTAAGCTAATATCCGTATTCTCTATTTCAGTTAATCGATGAAGACATGTACCACGTGCATCTGCTGTATACTGCCATTTTGCTCCAATTCTGTTATATCTTCTGAAAAATAAAATCCCTATATGCAGCAAATACAGACTTATTTGTTTTGATGGAGATAGGGGGGTTCATGGGATTTTTAGCAGGATTGTAGTAATATTCTCACTAAAGAGCTAAGCGAGTGCGTAGACCAATGTAAGGTACCATACAGGGTGCCTTTGAGTTAATAGTGTTCCATTAGTGTAGGTACTTTATTATTACTATTACTAGCTTATTATATGGCATTTGAATAAGAAGCTATGAGATTAGACGCAGGGACGGTTAGGATGTGTAACGCGTGTCCATCCATCAGCTGCCGTGACAACTCATGGTGGCTAGAATAAGTTGTGAGAGGACCCGAGTCTGTAGGTTTCCCAAGAAAATGACGAAGATATGTACCAAATCACTTAAATTTACTACACATGAACTAAGTGCTGAGAAGCTCGTGTATCACAAGTTTCTTGCAACGATTAAGTAGATAAAACAAAGTAGCATTAGATTTGAAAATTTATTCAAGAACTTTCATCAAGAATCGAATATCAAACAAAGGTTTAAACCAAGTTCCCGTTTAAAAGTTGCATTGGTAATGTTAATCTGCAGTTTTTGTTGTTTTTTTTCCAAACGAAAGGGTAAAAGAAGTAACTCAATAAGTACTGGAAGTGGTTGTGAGACTAAAATGGACATCCAGCATCCTTTTGATAATTTGCTGTTAGTTGGGTCTCTCGTAAACAGTTCCATAGGGCCATAGTTTTAAGGGCGAAACAGTTTTTAGGATCAGTGAAGGCTCACTCCTGTTGCGTTGGAATAGATAAGTAACCAAATTGCATGTTTTTTAGCAGAATTTATGCAGTTGTGATTTACCTTGAGTTCATGAATATTAGATCAGGTCATCTACTATTACTTGTGCAAAGCATAACATGGGCTTAGTACCGTATCGCAATGCTTTTATTATTTTGCTTCAATTTAAGTATTCCCATGCATCTGCGTCTAGTTTAACAGGAAGACATACAAGCAGAGTTAGTGTCTGATAAACTAAAATTCCCAGTTGTCAAAAACATTCTTAACATTTGTCCACAGCCAGCTGCATTTAATTGACACAGAACACTCAACTTCTAAAACTGTATACTGCTGTTTTGCGGGGAAATAAAAGCTCAGACGCTTAGCTATCCTTCTACCGATGTTATTGCTGGGGAAACTTTAATGACAGTGATCATGAAATATGATCAGTGATAGATGTACAGTCTAGAAATAAACACCAAGCATACTTATCGCTATCTTATAATGTATGACAGCAACAGTATAAAAAGCACGTTTTTTCTTGTTTTTAATCAGACTGATTTGAATCAGTACACTCATTAGAAACAGGCAGCGCTACTTACTACACTGATCTGTTTAGTTACAGGCTTAACCCTGTGCATAGTTTAAAGCACATTGTAGAGGACGTTATAGAACATGGTAGTTTAGAGTCGTTCTCTGCCTTCCCTTTTGAATCATACATGAGGAAAATTAGGCGTTCAGTACACTGCGGATTTGCTGCCGCTAAACAAGCCGCACAGCGATATGCCGAAGAAGTTTACTTTCACTGTGTATTGGATCAAGATATGGCTGACAATGTCACTGAGCCTGAGGTAACTCATGATTCTTCCGAGGAAATCGTCAGTTACAGGAACTCAAAGCTATCAACCACAAGACCAGACAATGTAGTTATCGCCAATGGTCGGCCAGGGTTCGCCACACAAATAGCCGATGGAGGCCGAATAAGGTTCCGGGCATTCCATAACCCTTCCGATCTATGTACTGACCCTTTTCCCTCCAGTAATATTGGTATGTTCAAGTGTTCTACCTTAAGCCACGAATGCACGTGGATAACACTGACAGACATACTTTGTAAGTGAATGTGTATGCGGACACAACACTATGAGGTTGGTAGTGATGATAAGTCCGGTATCGATGATCTACTATATGAGTATTGATGAGGTAGGTACAATATGAACGCAAAAATGACCGTCATTACACTGGGCGATACATTAGACTTACATGGTTGCGTTGCGGATAAAATCACCCAATATACGTACGTAGCACACTTGAAAATGCCGCTTCCTGTATTTACATTTTCATGGACCTCTACAAAATAACGTACGGTTTAATAAAAATGGAAGACAATCATCATTAACACAGGTAAGAGGATGCAGACACATGGATTTTCCTTAGATGCTTATATCCTTACTTCGTTGGTTGTCTACTTAAATGTACCGAAATGCTTGGCGGCCATCACAAATCGCTTACATGATACAGTTAGAGGTCATAGACGTAGGGCAACTGTGGACTTGTCAAGCGTACTTGGCTGTCATAGATCAACTTATAACAGACCATGGAATAAAATACGAACAGCTTTCATGAAAAAACACAACTTGCTTTCGTTTAGTCAGTTTGTCAATAAAAGCACGATCAAATGTAACTGAATTTAACAGTGACATTTTGAATTGATAGCACTCAACACAGAAACTAATTGTAATGAGTTTCCATCAACTGTAACAGCATCTAGTATCTACAACAATGAAAGGCTTTTGGATGACGATGTTACGTACAATTGAAGATATAAATAAGTTAACATCTAGTTGCGTGGCAAGTACTCCCTCCGACTTTCTGTGTAAATGCCGTACATTAGACCTCCTATCAATATGGAAAGTTGGGGAGTGTCGACAGTTTTTTCAATATTTAGGCCCCATAATACTGCAACAAACTTTACCTCAATGTTTTTATTTTAATCTCAGGCGTTTAGCGTTATCGATTCATTTGCCAGAACATCCAAAATTACATAATAGCTCTGCAGAATCCGTCAGAATGGATTCACGGAATTTTCTCAAGGAATATTAATGGTGTTATGGGTCTAAAAACTTAGCATAATATGCATTTGATGCAACTCTTTCCTGACGATTTCCGTGTACATTGACCTTAAGATAGTGATGATGTCACAGGTATTCAGTGTTTGACAACGCTTCTACCAGTAACACCTAATATATTTCGTTCCCACCCAGAGAAATCAAAAGACAGAGTCGAGGAGATCGGAAGAGTGTATTTGGCGACCACCAATATATCGGAATTCTCTGATCTAATCTGGCTAGTGATTGCGGTTGATGTTGAGCACGGCGTTACAGCATGTGATCTGGTGCGGATGCCTGACCGAGCGCCTTCAGCTAGATGAGTCCACTAAAACATATGGTCAGCATCCAATGTCGAAAACTTACAGAGCTATTTATTTTGGGGATTTATTTACCCCTACAGATCACTCCCCCCTAGTGGGGCAGTGACGACCCTAAGACGTGGCCAGCCAGAAGTTTAAATCCAACAAGTTTGTTGTTGGTAAACACTCTTCTGATAGCTTACTAAGTGTAGCAGCGTCTGGTCGTCTTTCCTTACTATATGAGACCGAGGTACAACATAGTAAAAAAAGAAAAAGTTACAACGAAAAATTTCGACTCCTCGTAAACTGCATCGTTCTTTTCCAGTCGTCCTGGAAAAGAAAAAAGAGAGTGCAAGTGCATGTCGAAATACACTCGTATGTGCGTAAAAACGCAGTGTCGGCGAAAAAAAAAGGAAAATAAACTCAAGCACACGTAATAGCGTCAAAAAAATAATTTTTTTATGTTTTGTTTTTTTGTTTTAATAAAAATATAAATATATAGGCATATTAAAATTGTTTTTTAAAAAAATATTATTATTATTTTCAGACACATTCGGAGTATCAACGCTAGTGTTGGTTGTCGGTTGAGGAATTATGAATGTAGGAGTCGTGTTGTGCGATTGTACCGAAGGAAAGTCGACGTGAATAGGATTTCCTTCTAAATACGCTGCTTTTAGGCGATCGATGCTGATGCTATCGTTTGTTCCGTTCTTGTCGACTATATAGTATCAGAATGTGTTTTGTGGAGATTTTTAGAAATTTTCACAGATTGAACTCATGAGTCAGTTGAAGCTAGACCACCATTGAAAACCTGGAAGCACTGTGCTTCCAGGTTTTCAATGGTGGTCTAGCTTCAACTGACTCATGAGTTCAATCTGAGAAGACTATATAGTACTTAGATTCACGTTGAAGAACTTTGAAGGGTCCTTCGTATGCTGATTCGAATGGTCGTCGATGCGAGTCTCGACGAACGAAAACGTGTGTACTATATCGTAAGTCAGGTTGAACGAAAACATCAGTTGATTGAGGTCGAGTGGAAGCACGTTTAACTGAACGCATTGCGTTTGTAAGCCTGTTCGTGTAGGAGGTTAGATCCATGTTCATTGAAGAGGACGAAAGATCCACAAATTCTCCTGGAAGTCGAAGTGTCGTTCCATAAACGAGTTGAGCCGCAGTGTATCCAATGTCAGCTTTCACTGCATTGCGGATACCCGGTAAGACAAGTGGAAGAGCGTCGGTCCACTGTGAAACGTTTGCAGCTGATAGTGAAGCTTTTAGTTGTCGGTGAAAGCGTTCTACCAACCCGTTTGCTCGTGGGTGGTAGGCAGTCGTTCGGAAGCGAGTGGTTCCTAAAAGTGTGGTCAGACGACGGAAAAGATCAGATTCAAACTGACGTCCGCGGTCTGTAGTGATGGTGGAAGGGCAGCCGAAGTTTGCTACCCATCGTTCGACGAATGTGCGGGCCACTGTTTCAGCAGTGATGTCCTTGATAGGTACTGCTTCTGGCCATCGAGTGAAACGGTCTACGCAGGTTAAGAGGTAAGAGTATCCATTTGAATCTGGTAAAGGTCCTACCAAATCCAGATGAACATGGTCGAAACGAGCATCGGGAGTTCTAAATGAGCCTAAGAGACATTTATTGTGTCTGATAACCTTAGATTTTTGGCAGCTTACACAGGAGCGTGCCCACTCCCTCACGTCTTTATTCATGCCAGGCCAGCAAAACCGTTCTGCTATAAGCTTGATGGTTGCACGGACACCTGGATGAGAAAGTTTGTGCAATGTATTGAAGACATTGCGTCGATAATTTTTAGGCACGATTGGGCGATCCCTACCTGTAGACGTGTCACAAAGTAAGGTTTCCTTACCTGTTTCCATCTGCTTGATGCGTAGTTTAAGGGTTGTGGACGATAACTCATGCTGAAGGTCAGTGTCTTCTTTTTGAAGCTCGGCGAGTTTCAGAAGGTCGATTCCTTGGAAACTGTTCTAGGAAGGTATGCGAGATAAGGCGTCTGCAACTACATTGTTTGCTCCAGAGATGTGTTGAATGTCTGAAGTAAACTGCGAAATGTAGTCCAGTTGTCGAGACTCACGGGGAGAGTACTTGTCTGTAGGCGAGCTTAACGAGAAAGTGAGCGGTTTATGGTCCGTGAAAAGAGTGAATTCACGACCTTCGATGTAGTGTCGAAAATGTCGTACAGCACAATACGTAGCTAGGAGTTCCCTACCGAATGTGCTGTACCTCGATTCGGTGTCTAGCAACCTTCTAGAGAAAAATGCCAATGGTTGCCAGGAGTTGTTAACCCATTGTTGTAAGACGCCACCGATTGCCGAGTCGGATGCGTCTACTGCGATACTAATGGGTGCTTCGGTGTCCTGATGTGCGAGTATTGTTGCTTTAGCAATCAGTTCCTTAACTGTGGAGAATGCTTTTCGTGCGGTGTCGTCCAAGTTGATGGATTTCGCATTTCCACGAAGTTGGTCGGTCAGAGGTTTCATAAGTAATGCGCATTTCGGTATGAAACGTCTATAGAAACTTACGAGGCCGTTAATCGTGCGTAATTGCTTGACGGTGGTCGGTTCTGAGTAATCCAGAATGGCCACCACTTTGGTTCTAAGGGGTCGGATACCTTGAGCATCGATAGTGTGTTCCAGAAAGTCTAATGAGTCGGTTCCAATTTGGCATTTCTGAACGTTTATAGTAATGCCATGTTTTTGAAGTCGTTCGAAAACAAGATCCAGATGCTTAAGATGTGTTTCTCTGTCCGGACGTGCGATTAGACAGTCGTCAACATACGCGTGTACGAAGTTGAGACCTCGAAAAACGTCGTCTATGAATCTTTGGAATGTTTGAGCAGCATTCCTTAGACCGAAAGGCATTCGCAAAAATTCATAGAGTCCGAAGGGAGTTATGATAGCTGTTTTCGGTATGTTGTCAGTAGCCATAGGGATTTGGTTATACGCTTTAACCAAGTCGATTTTCGAAAAGACAGTTGTACCTTTCAAGGTAGCTGTCAAATCGTGAATGTGAGGCAACGGGTGACGATCGGGAATGGTTTTCGCGTTCAATCGCCGATAGTCACCAGTTGGACGCCAATCGTTGCTGTCCTTTTTAGGGACCATGTGCAACGGAGATGCATATATGCTACTTGACGGTCGCATGATTCCTAAGTCCATCATGTGATCGAATTCGTTTTTCGCTAACCTTAGCTTTTCAGGAGCTAGTCGTCGTGCTTTAGAGAATACAGGTGGTCCTGTAGTCGTGATGTGATGTGTAACATTGCTGGTTACACACGGTAATCTCGGTTGCGTTTGTTGTATCCCAGGATACTTATCGAGAAGTGGCTGATAGAGTGGGTCTATCATATGATTAATTGTGACTGGGGATAATTTGCAACCAGTAAAAGAAGTTACGCAAACGGATAAATTAGTGTTTCCGTCTACTAGCCTCCGTTTGCGCGTATCGATGATCAGATTGTGATGTTGTAGAAGGTCCATACCAATGATCGGCTTAGAAACATCTGCAACAACGAAAATCCAGTGAATGGGTTTGCGTAAACCTACTTTAAGGTAAACGTACCTTTTGCCATACGTAGCGATCGGTTTTCCGTTTGCCGCCTGTAAGTTTAGGGTCGATTCGTGGAGTCGGTCGTTAGGATTTCCTGGGAGAACGCTAACTTCTGCGCCAGTGTCGACGAGGTAGCGAACTCTCGTTGTCTTATCTGTGCCGAATAACAGACGGCTTTGTTCGCCGGCTACGGTTGCCGTTAACGCGTGCCGGCTTGGAAGTTTCCCGAGTTGTTTTTCGAGTCACTCGGTTTCGTGTTGGGAAAATTGCAGGGTTTTCTGCAATTTCTGGAAAGCTTTCCATACTGGTTATGATACCAGCACCAGTCGGGATTATCTGTCTCTC